GGCCCCGCAGCTGAGTCAGGAGCCGCGAGTGCTCACGGACTCGGGGGAGCTTCTGTGGAGGAGGGGCTCTCAGATGTCGGGGGCCCTGCCCAGTGCCCCGGGGTCCAGACCATCAGGACAGCTCCCGCAGGTGGCACTAAGCATAGGGCACTTGGGTGCCAGGTGGCACTCCTGTCTTTACCAGGCACGCTCATAGCATGTACTTATTTGTGGCCCTTCCAAATAAGAACTGACCTATCTTTTTTTTAACTTATTTTTTTAAAATATATTTTTATTGGTTTCAGAGAGGAAGGGAGAGGGAGAGAGAGAGAGAAACATCAATGATGAGAGAAAATCATTGATTAGCTGCCTCCTGCACGCCCCCTACTGGGGATGGAGCCTGCAACCCAGGCATGTGCCCTTGACCGGAATCGAACCCGGGACCCTTCAGTCCACAGGCCGACACTCTATCCACTGAGCCAAACCAGCCAGGGCGAGAACTGATGTATCTTATTAGTTGTATCACACAGCCCTGAGACAGGCATTCTTGTCATCGCCACTCCATCTGGAGGCGGACCCTTCCTCACTTGAGCCTCGGATGAGATCCCAGCCCTGGCCAATATCTCAATTGCAACCTGTGAGAGACCCTGAAAGGAAGGACTCAGAGAAGCTGCCTCTAGATTCCTGACTCACAGCAACTGTGAGAAGTGTGTGTGTTGCTGTAAGCTACTGACTTGCAGTATATTGTCCCACAGCATTAGCTAAGCAATACAAGAGGAGTTGCTGGGTCCTGGGGCAGGTGTAGTGTGACTATATGAGAAAAGGCCGGGCCTCTGTCCACAGACCCTGCCCTCAGGGGGACACTTTCTCTGTCCTCTGTTTCATTTCCTTTGTCACTCTCCCTACTACCTGACACCTGAATTGTGTGTTTTGTGTCATCACTGGGTCCCAGAGCAGTGTCTGGTGCCTAGCTGGTGCTCAATAAATATTCGATGAATCAATTAACTGCAACTGTGATATTTTGATTCTTTGCTGGGGTGGTGGGAACTCAGTATGTTTTTAATGATTCTCCATACCTTTTCCCAGGTCTAAACGTTTTCATAAAATATTGTTAAAATGCTATTATAGAAATCCTATATAATAAAAGGCTGATATGCAAATCAACCAGAGGAATGACTAGTCGCTATGACACGCACTGACCACCAGGGGGCAGACGCTCAACACAGAAGCTGCTCCCTGGTGGTCAGTGCGTTCCCCCTGTGGGCTCATGGCCGGTGAGCACAGCGGCGGTGGCGGGAGTCATCAGTCGGACATCCCCCAAGGACTCCGACAGATTGCGAGAAGGCGCAGGCCGGGCTAAGGGACTCCCTGACTGAGTGCATGAATTTCGTGCACCGGGCCTCTAGTAATATATAAAATACAAACATATAAAATAAGTATTGCCCTAGCTGGTTTGGCTCAGCGGATAGAGCGTTGGCCCACAGACCAAAGGGTCCCGGGTTCGATTCTGGTCAAGGGCATGTACCTCGGTTGCAGGCTCCTTCCTGGCCAGGCTCTGGTCAGGGCATGTGCAAGAGGCAACCAATCGATGTGTTTCTCTCACATTGATGTTTCTCTCTGTCTTTCCCTCTCCCTTCCACTCTCTAAAAATCAATGGAAAAATATCCTTGGGTGAGGATTAAAATAAGTAAGTAAGTAAATAAATATTATATAAAATGTTCAAACTGAAGCAAGGGGAAGCCCCTCCACACTGCCCGAAACCCAATGTCAGCTGGGCCGTGGCCACGTGACTGAAACCAGCAGGTGGTGTAAGGTGCAGGGGGGAGTGACACCCGGGCCCCATGATGCCCCAAGAGGGACAGGGAGAGCTCTGGTTGGGAGGGTGCTCTGTGTCCACAGCGCCAGGGAGCCCCCCCCCAGGGCAGGCACAGCTGGGAGAAGAGGCACCTGACTGAGGTGGGAAAACCCAGTGCCCTGATGGGGCAGGGGCCCAATGTCAGTAAGGAATATGAGCTCCGAGTTCAAATTATGTCTCTGCCTCTTGCTGGTGGTACTAGTATGACCTCAGGCAGATCCCTTTGCCTTTCTGTGCCTTGGTTTCCTTGCTGGTCAAAGACCCATCTCTGGGGCTGGTAAGGATTGAGTATGTTGCGTCGGGCACCTGGAAGACCTGGGTGCCATTGCCAGCTCAGCAGACATGTAGAGCTGGGACCAGACAGCTCCAGGCTCCTTTGTTCCATCCACAAACTATTCCTGCACCCCTACTATATGCTGGTACCATGTGGGTATGAGGAGTGGGTATGAAGGAAAGAGGAGACTATGCCTGGCTCCTCCCTTGCAGAGCAGACCCATGGAGGTGACTAATGTGTGACCTGGGGCTTTGCTGGGATGGGGGTTTCAGGGGAGGCGCCTGACTGAGGTGGGGGCAATGGCAATCCAGGGAGGCTTCCTGGAAGAAGTGGCAACTGAAGTACAAGGAGGAATGGAAAGTGCATGAGACAGAGGTCACCTCACATGCAAAAACTTGGGCCTCCCGTGGTTGTGCTGTGTCCTTGAGTGTGGCACTCAGGGCAAGCTTTTTCCAACTTCAGGGTTTTTGCCCTAGCTGTGCCTTCTGCCTACAATGCCCTTCCCATTCTGGGCTCCAGATCTGGCTTCTTCTCATCCTTTATATCTCAGCTCAAAGGGGCCCCCTGCACCTCGACTCCCCACACCCAACTGTGCCCTTCCTCTTGATTTCCTAGCACCTATCAGAAGTTACCCTGCGTCATGATCTGTTCACTTGTTTGGGGTCATTTCCCCCAATCAGACTGTGAGCCCCCGAGAACAGAACGGGATATGTCTCGGTCTCTGCTGTGTCCCCAGCGTCCAGCCCAGGACACGCTAGTGAATGTGTACAGTCATCCTAGGCTGTGGCACCAGCAAGGACAAAGGTGTGAGAAGCCCCCC